AGAAGAATACAACCTAAACTTGTGCACCAGGAAACAGTTCCATATTGCAAAAGCCACTGGAGGCTTGCCCCAGCAGGACATCAATTTGTGGAGCGATATTTTATGTTATATGTGGTTCAATAAATTAATCCAGCAAAAATTTTACAACTGAGATGTTAGTATTCTCTAACAGATATTTCTCCATTAGAAAATCCTGATTCAGAGGGACTAATAAATTGGTCCAGTAGGTGTTAATCAATAATATAAATGAATAACCAATGAAAAGCTGTCACTAGTATGCCAAAGGGGAAATCATCCAAGAATGAAATCAGTACAATAATACAAGCACGTTGTATCCATTAACAAATACATGTAAAGCATACTGGATTGACATCAATTCCCAGTACAAAAGCACGTACTCTTTACACTGCTCAAAATAATTAATTTCATACAATGTTTTCCAAACTGAATTTTTTCCTAATTGTAAATGATAAATTGAGCTCAAAGATGCCCATATATGTGTGCACACTCAATATTTTGCAGGTTTTCCTTCTAAATTATTCCTACAGACAGCTTTTTGCTAGAGCTCTTCACACCTTAGAGGAAAAATCCCAGGAGATTTACAGGGGGGGGGAGGGAAAAAAAAAAAAAAAAAAAAGGCATCTCCTCTTATTTGCTTGTTGAAAACACACTCAATAACAAATTACCAGGATGGGCACAACCTGCCCTGTTTTAACATCTAAAACATCCATGCAAGACCCTCACACAGTCTCCATGCATTTATAAAGCTCTGGCTTCGGTCAAGTTAACAGCGTTCATTTTAACTCTCTGCAGATTGCAGTGCAGCCCACAGCTACTGCAAGAGCTTGCTGATTTTTGTTGCTCAAAACTCCCATTCAGGTATGAACTACCGGTCTTCTGAGTTCATGACCCTTTGTCTGTCTACATTAGGACTCCTGGTAAAAACACACAGAACACCTGGGACAAATCTCTTTCATCTTTGAAATTAAATCAGGCCCCAAATCTGTATATGCAGTGCATGAAGCTAGTGAGATTACTCCCTTTGATGACAGAGGAAAGATGGGCTGTATCCTTTACTCTTTAAGAGGGAGGGAACAAATTAACTACCACCTTATATAACTGTTTCCTTTGTATTAACGCTTCTTCCCTCCTTCATCAAAAATCCACTGACTAATTTGACCATCCACATCTCTGCATCCTTCTACTTGACAATGCCAAAGGAGTGACTGCAACAGCAGTAGGAGAGGGAGATTCTTCTCTCAAGATTTGAAGATAATGTCTCATCATCAGTACTGGCAAAGACATATGAACATAGCTTAAGATAATCACAAAAAATTTTGCACCTTACAGTCCATATTCCTTTGCAAGAATTGAAGGTTTTCATTTCTATTAAGTTTCTATGGCTTTCTGCCAACAATTGGGCAATAAAATCTACATTCCATAAACAAGACCTTCTGAAGTTTCACACAGCAGCATTGTAGCCACAGCTATCAAAACCCACATGTCCAGAGAAGCATCTTGTCAGCAAAGGGACTGCTAGCATATGAAGTATGAGGCAGCCTCACATCTAAAGCCAGTGTTATGGTGAGGCACAAAGTCCTCAGAACAGCATGGAGGCCTTCTAGATACTGATACACAGTGCTGATCTCAGCACATCTTCAATCAAGAAGTAAAGAATAAAATGGAGAGTGACAGTAGGCAGCTGCTACTTTGTGTGTCTGAGGTACACAGGATAGTGAATGTAAATTCCCCCCTCCCCTACACCTTCCTTTTACCCTATCACTCTTATGTTACTCCCACTCATCTCTGTCACATCTCAAATTTTACAGTGAGATCTCTGCTGTAGAGAAATCAGCCCTAAGTCTAAACTGCATATTTATAGTTCTTCCTCACAGGAGTTTTCTATTGTATTCACATTTATTTCCCTTTGTGCTTGGGCTCATCTCAGGCTTGATAGCTCACACTCCCCTTCATATGGACCCAAAGAGACATTCTGGCAGCCAGAAGTTCCCAGCATGTTGCAAAGTTGCAGCCTAACCACTTTTGCTCAGAAAAGCAAAGAACGCTTACACTGAACAGGAAAGTAGAATCCTTTTCAGGCAATGAGTGCTATTCTTGTGACCTTCTGTCAACAGAAGAGTCTTCCAGCCACGGGTTAAGCCAACATTACAGCTACTTCACAGAGGGTAACTAAGCTGCAGACCTGCCAGTTCATCTTTTCTGCAGTCTTGCAAAAAGCTCTATGAAAAAAGTAAATAGGAGTCTGTGATGAGCAACACAAATAGAGTATGTTTTGTCAGTAGCACCAGGTAAATCTAACAACAGACATGTTTGACACAGATGTAATAATGTGCAGAAGAAACACAAGTGTGCCTAAACCTCCCATAGGTATCCAGTGAGCATCCACTGTCGGATCTGCAGCCACTGGACACATGGTAGGTGAAAGATTTTAAGATCGTTCCTGTATCGCTGCTGCTGCAAGAGATTTACTGGCTTTATTTCAGACATCTGGCAAATTCTGCAAGCCCTTTTAGACTTGGAATTTATAACAGTTGAGTCGCAAGGAAGAAGACTTCTGTTAGAGTTAGCACAACTATTGGCACTTCTTGTCTTTAAAATCCCTCTTCTCTGAATTTAGGAAAAGAATATATAGGCATGTATTTCTTCTACAAGCAGCATCTACTGTACCTTCTAAACAAAGCTTACTATAGCAGGTGGATGTCACAATTTTGGCCTGCGTGGGCTACACTGAGTGGAAAGAAATTGTTTTAAGCCTTGCGTTCAAGGTGCCCATCAGATTTTTGATGAAATTTTACTCTTTCTGTGCTTCATCCTTCAGAAATTGTTCACAAAAGTACCTACCATCAAAAAGCAATAGTGCTGTTGAGGGCTAATTCTAAACAAACTGGGCTACCATTGTATTAGATATCAGAAGAATACTTAGTTTTCTTAACCAGGGACTTCCCAGAGCCAGAAGGCCTTGAAGAATATTTTGGAGACATTGCCAATGTGGCAAGAAAATCCAGGGTCTGTGAATTCTTATGATGGTATGAAAATTGCTAACAACCATCATGAGGAGAACTGACTGGAAAATTATTAACTTTGTGACATTTGTGTTAGATGTTGTGCAGATAATGTTACACTGTGCTTGATCTGTGGGTAACCACCAATTACCAAGTGGTGAGCAATCCTGAAATAAGTTAGTAGTATCTCTCCTGAGTGCACAGTGATTGACTCCTTGCACACCCAGCAATGAATCCATTTTTTGGACAACATGAATAAGGCTGTTTTTTTCTCCAGTAAGAGAGGTCTTAAAAATTGGGTAGAGAGATGTGATCACATTTTTGTGTTGAGTACCTGACTGCAACTCCATATCTTCCATTTGAAAATTGGCACATAATGTATTTATACCAACTGAAAATCAAGTCACAGATATCCAGAAAATTCATGATATTTTTTTTTTGCACCTTTGAAACCTGTTATCAGATTCCTTTATCACAATGGAAATACAGCTTCATATTTTTCACTGTTCTTGAAACTGTGTTTAGCCAGTGTATCACAATGGATAAGCTTATTTGCCATCACTTGAATCAGCACTGTACCCTTCCCCATACCCTGTGGTTTCAGCCCAGACAGTGCTGATGGCACACACTGAGGTCCAGGTGATGCTGAGTAATGGGTGCATGCCCAGGGCATGATGGAATAAGGCAGGCCCCAGTAGGAACTATGCTGGGCCACATGTGGCCCACAGGTTGTATATGTCTGCTACAACTCTAACAATCACAGGACATTTTAAATGACAGATAAAATGCTTCAAGCCAGTAAGAGATATTCAAGTATTATAAAATACAACTTTCAGCCTATATATTTTCCTCCAATACAACTGTACTTGAGTTGTTTGCAATCCACAGGGAATTCCCACTACTCCCATTCCAATGGGACTGTTATTGTTACCATACTGACAGCTACTTTTAAAAATTTGAAGTGACTTAATGTAATAATGAACAGGACTCTCAGTGGATTAAAAGAGGGAAGATATAGAATATCCTAATTTATACATATCTGTTGGACTAATACCTATCAATCTATGAATAGAATAAATTGGTAAATACCTATGTACACACTCAATATTTACTGGAAGTTCCTTAATTTTTAAATAAAAAATCCTAAACATTCAATAACTTTTAAAATAATGTTAACTCACTCATAAAGATGCAAAGTACATCTACTGGTTATCTTCAGATATCAGATTCAATGCTTAGTTCTTGTTAACATATGGTACAAATCCATATTCAAGTTACATTTTTTAATAATTCACCCATTATAGAAAAAAGCCTATAAATAGTTTTTAAGCATCAATTACACAAGTTCCCATTAAAATTCCCATTCCTACTGGAAAAAAAGCATTCAGTCTTACTTTAACTCTCTTTTGCAGATCTTTCTCTCTAACCTCCTGTCAACCCAAGTTACTTTCCTCAACCATACATACAGTTCATTGAAAAAGCTGCAGTAGTAAATTTGATTAGTGTCAATTCTAGCATTCCTCAAAACCTCTAAGACTTCAGAGACCTGTGCTTACTCAAATGTTTTCAGCTGTTGATAGAAAGCATATCATAGCATTATGGCTTACAGAATGATTTCCTGCACTTATTTAGACATGTGTAAAAAAAAAAAAAAGTGACAAGAAATCATCAGTTTGTATCATTCAGGAAATGAAACAATTCGCAGTTAGAATAAAGCAGTCTCTTGAGCACCTCCAGGACAGCTGTTCTCTAGCCACCCCTATTACTCATTGAGACTACAATAGATAAATAACAGACAATGAACTGAGAAGTCTGCACAACTCAAACCAAATCTTGTTTTGAACCTTTTTATAAGTATTGCTCACAGTGATTTTATTTTTTTTTTAGAACATTAACTTTGACATAGTTACCACCCCCCTGCTTAAATTTTCACCAATTAACACGCCTCCATAAAGTTTATATAAAAACAGCACATACCTTTACGATTCACAAGCCGCTCCTGTGCTCCGATTTATACAGATCTCTGAACAGATTATTTGACTGAAGTAACCACTTCCACATAAGCTCTCCATGTGTTCTCCAAGAATGTCTGATTTCATCTCAATCTCATTTCTGTCGCATTCACGCTTTTTGACACATCCACAAGTTTCAGCTTCACATGATCTTTTACCTTAACAAAAAAAAAAAAAAAAAAAAAAAAACAACAAGAAGCAGTTGTGAAACAACTCACAAACAGTCAACATAACGTATCTGCATCCAAAGCATATTGGGCTATGTATGAAGACAAAGAACTCCAAGGATTTGAATGCCAAGACTTCATAATTCTGTCTTCAAAACTTTCAGCACAGCCTTGAGCAAAAATAAGTTGTCACCCCCATTACCCATAAAAATGCATTAAAGCTACTTCTGAATCTCATCTTACAGGAAATTTGACAGATACTGAGGCATTCAGGACCTGCCTACACAAAGCAATGCAACACCACATTCAGCTGATGCTGGAGCCAGCTGTGAGAGAGCAGCAAAACTCAGTGGGCACTGCTGCTCACATCCCCAGAAACCCAACATGATGCTGGGCTCAGAATTAATGAAGCAATGCACTGCATTTGCCCCTCTAGCCTGACCTTGGGTGTCTCCAGGGACAGGACATCCACTGCCTCTCTAGGCAGCCCATGCCAGTGCCTCACCACTTTCACTGCAGAAAAACTTCCTTATATCCAGCACAAATCTCCCCTGTTCTAGTTTGAAGCCATTTCCCCTTGCTCTGTTACAACAGACTCCCCTAAAGATTCTGTCCACTTCCTTCTTAGATGCCCCCTTTTAGATACTGAAAGGATGCTCTCTGGTTTTCACAGCGCCTTCTCCTCTCCAGTCTACACAGCTCTTCAGCCTGTCCTCATATGGAGGTGCTACATCCCTTGGAATTTTTCTGTGGTCCTCCTTTGTACACACTCTAACAGGTCCAATATGAAAAGGTGGTGGAATTCATTCATTTGAACCACTTCCCATGGGACAGGTTGAAATTGTTCTTTGCTAGGACAACTCTGAGATCTAAAGAACCAAGATTTTAGCTGAGGTCTCTGTAAAACACATTTTTGTTATTAGGATGAGAATGGAGACCTCAGTGTTGTCTGACAAAAAGCATAGAAGGAAAGCATTTCAAGAAAGATGATAGTATCGTGCCTGGCCCAAGCAAACGATTTTGAATTAAGATGGTAACAATTTACTGAAGAGCTGGAAAGTTTCTTCATTTACTAGAACTGAGCAAGCTTTTGAAATGTGCAAGTAAAAATATAAATAATCTATGCAGCACTCCGTCTTTGAGTAAGGGGATTTTGTTTTCTGAGTGAACAATTTAATCCACTTTTTAATTTAAAATTATTAATTACTAAATTGCACCCAAATTTAAGCCTCACAAGAACTGTAACATTTTTATTGATTAAAAAAAAAAAAAAAAAAAGAGAGAGAGAGAGAGAGAGAGAGAGAGAGAAGGCAGACTACTGAGGGAGTCCTTAGAAGCTATTTTGTTTATGCACAGTGTAAAGAAACAGCTACACAACTTAATCAGGGTTACCAGTTTCCTCCCTTCCTTCTGCTCCTAAGCTTACCTCCCACAGATAGGTAGGTAACTCCTTCAGCCACAGCAAACTTGTTTTGTTGGTGAAAAGCCAGCCTGATCTGACCGCTCAGGATATATTTGCTCTCTAATTTGGTAAATGATTAATCACCAACAAGAATAATGGCAATGCCTGTCTCTTCAGTGGATTATGTTATCACTACAATACTTTACATTGGTAAATTCATGTGTGGTTCAGCTCACGCTTCACTTAAATATTTGACTAATGAGAGCTTTCTTGCAGATATTTCCTTGCTGTAGCAGCAGCCTCTCCAAGTGACAGGAGATATGAAACCTATATTAAAACACCATAATCATCTTAATAATTAATTCTTGCAACTGTTTTTTTTTTTTTTTTTTTTTTTAAAAAAAAAACCCTATTGTAAGACTAAAATATAACTAATAGCAGTTCCAAAGCAGCAGCTGAAACAAAACAATGAAAGAAGTGAAAACAAGGCAAAACAGGGCAAAAGATGAATTAGCAGAAATCTTTATGAAATCGCCCATATCACCTCTCCTCCACAGTACATGAGCACACACTGTTGAACTGAACTTTTCAAAGAAAAGTGAGGTGCACGTAACGGCACTTGTTGATTAAGCTTGTAGTAATCTGTCTGAAAATAAATTCCAAGCATCCCAGCACAGTGAGGAGTACTTAGTGTATAGTCTTTGTCACCCAGACTGTTGACGATGCAGTCCTATGAGATGTTAATTAACTGATTCAATCGCAGTACTCAGCTTGTGCTCAGAGTCCTGTGGCACGTGACCTGTTCTCCGTTCTCCATCACTTACAGGATGGAAAAGAGAACATTTCAACTCTCCCCTCCAAACACGCTGTATTACCAAGGAACCAGATTATTACTCAAGATCAGCAGGAGTAGCACTGCTTGAAGACAAGTTTGAGGCGGTGCTTTTTTTTAAAAAAAAAAAAAAAAAAAAAAAAAAAAAAAAAACAGTCCTATATAGGAGAACTTCAATCACTACAAGACATTCAAGAAGTATAAACTAACGCCCAAAAGCCAGCATGACATTCTGACAGTGATAAATTGCTGTTCCTTATGTCAAGGGAGTGCACACCAACAGCTGGCTGTTGCAGGAATTGGACACGCATCCTGTCACTGCAGCACAACCTCCTTACAGACCTTGCCCTCATTCCAGCTAGCCAGGAGAATTTCTTCCATTGCACCCAAGCACACTGCACATATTTTTTCCTATTTGGTAGAAGGAGGACTCTCCGTTCACTTCCTCTCCATATGCAAGAGGTAGTCCCAGCAAGTCTTCCTCACATAAATAAAGCATTTTTAGATAAAAATTTATTTTAAGGCATTTAATAAAATAATAAGGAAAATTACAAGAGCCTGTTAATAGAGGTTATTTAAACAATCATCATTAGTGTGATACTCTCCACCTTAAATACACAGAATCAAGATTCCATACTTTTTCCCCTCCATGAATTTAGCTTGAAAGTTAGAAATGCACAGATCATGAGAACTCCATGCAAGTGAAAAAACACTAGAGTAATAGCAGTGTTGAATATAGGAATGTAAATCTCTGAGCTCCTTATATTATGAAATAAAGTCTCCTTGTGTACATAAAATGCAGTTCAATGTTAAGTATTTTCTAGAAAATGGGGGACAAATCCCAATGTAATCTTCAGACAAAGTCAGATGCTTAATGCCTGTAAAATTATAGCTGTGTCTGGTCCTAAACTTGAGGGTCTTTTGACATACCCCCTGTAAAATCATTTTTTCCAGGAGCTTACAATTTGACCACGAAAATTTGATTCTGGATGAGTGTATAAACCTTCAGCTTGGGTTGTATTTCTGAGTGGTGCCCAAAAATACAAACGAGTTTATTTTCACCCATGCATAGGAGCAGCGTCAGTCTTTAAAGGATGCTCTTTGCATTAAAAATTTCACATTCGTGTCATTTATATACATGGGGCAAATTTGAAGAGAACAGCAGACAAGTTGCATTTCTAGCTAACCTGCTTTATAAGAATGCACCGGGCAAGAGAAGAACAGAAGCCCTTGCTTGTACAGTGATGAGTACACAAAGTAAATATTACAACATTTTTAAACACAGTACTAAAAATGAGCACTTATGGAAGGAAAAAACCTGAAGCTGCTTCCCAAAAAAGATTTTCCTAACCTACATTATTTTAAGTTTACAAAAAATACAGTCTAAATGATTCTATGTTCCCAGAATTACTATTTTTTTTAAACTCTATACTGAAAAGAATAAGAGGGCTGGCCAACCTGATGAGGCCTTCCTGCTGTTTTGGGGCAAAGGAATAAAGAAAACTGAGAAGCCAGATCTGATCCTAAAACTCTCTTCAACAACATGAGACCCCAGCAATAGCAAAGGGACAGACTGGCTGGTTATTTTAGCCAAGTGCACGTGTGCTCCTGTCTGCCTGCAGCCCACAGCTGCTGAAGTAGGCAGTGGGACTGAACAGGCACATGGGCAGGCATCTTTAAGCAGAAAAGAATATAAGCAGCAACGTTTGGGTTCAGATTTCAAATGCACCACCGTCCAGCAGCACTCATATCCCGCGTCACGGTGCTCACTGCAGCTCTACTTTCAGGGCACTCAGCCTCATCCATGAGTTAAAACAAGCAGCAGAGGAAGGGTTCACCTGTTCTGCAGTTTGACACCTTAAGAGCATGCCAGTGAGACCAGGATTAGAGTGATAGTTTGCTCAGAGAGAAGAAAGGATTCTGTGTTTTGCGGAGAGGTGGTATATAAGTGCCTGAAGACAGCTGCCCTTGTTTCTGCTCTCTGCTTGGATGCTTTCAGCACAACCGTGAGCAACCCGCCCAGGCATCAGCCCCAAGACACCACAAGGAGGCTAATAATCTAATCCTCTTTTTGCTACCCCTTGAACAGAGCTTGCAATTTAACAACAAATGCAAGTGCAGGGAGGAAAAAAAAAGTCTTAATAGCAGGGATAATTATGAACACCCACATATAATCTGACAATAGGAACAATTCAAGTAGCCAAACTATATTAAAATCAGCAGGAGAGCTCAGCTCTTATGGTTTGATGCCACCACTTCTGCTAGTTACTAGAGGTGCCCTTTGCAAATACTCATCCTTTCTTCCCTAGTAACAGCCTGTTTCTGTTATTTTTGTGGGTTCTGCTGAAGAGTAATAAAAGGGTCTGCCAAGAAGATTTCTGGTCTCTGCTATGCACTGAACAAGTCAGAGGCCAAGTTACCCTCTTCAACTGTTTCTAGGGGTGTCTTCTAGACGGCAGCTTTCCCCAGCTATGCCCACATGCTTGCACACCCTTTGCAACAAACAACATACAAGGGTCATCTTCCTCCCCTGTCTCTGCCAGGAGGCTTCTGTGCCCTGGACATACGCTGGACATACCTGGGACAATACTGCCAGATTGCTTCTGTCCAACCCTTTGGTTGTGTCTAAGCAAAGGATTTTTAATGAAGTATATGGACTCTGCAGCACTCAGATTTCTACCTTGTTGAGCTACATATGACTGGGCAGATGCCCACCAGCTGAGGAACTCTTGCCCTTTCCCAGGAATTGAAGTGTTT